ATACAGTGGAGCTACATCCTAGCAGGAGGTTAGAGCATGTGGAGAGTTAAATGAATGCTTCCATTTTATTGCTCCCTTGTTCCTGTTTCTCAGCTGCCAAGAAGCCAGCCTTAGCTCATGCTAGCAATTCCTCTGGGGTCAAGAGAGAATGAAATCTGTAGGATTTCAGAAAACACAAAATGATTTCAAGATCAGGCCCAACACTCTTTTTTGTAAGGGAACCACAGAATTGAGGAGACTGCATCGTTGTTACTTCTGGTTAGTGTACTCATTTTCTTTTCACATTCTCACACAGAGCTGTGCATCAGCAATTCTAACCCAACCTTCTAACATCAGACAGAGGTGTATGGTCTACAAAGAACAACTGACACTTTAGAAGCTCTCATTTTCTTACACATCAGCACTATTGGTACAGCCAGCGATGTTTCACTGAGCTGAAACGATGAGACACTAAGGGACATTACGACATTACTGGTGTCTCCACCAAATTCTCTTTATCATAGTTTAAGTATATGGTAATATGCAAAAAATCAAGAGAGTTCCTTGAAACTTACATCAAGCAGACTAGCAGAAAAACTGAGTACTTTCTAATGGTGGAAACTGAATCTTTGCCCTAGGGAAGAAGAAATGTAATAAAGAACAATAGCAAAACTCACGTGATTAAGACTGCCTTTCTGTTAAGGTAGGTTTTTCCACTGAGCTTACACCTGAGCACAGCAGTGTGAAGACACTTAACATGGCCAAGGCAACGTGCTAGCCAATACACGATTCCACAGCTTACCTAATAAACATATTACTTGTCCACAAACCCTCAGTCGCTTGTGGATTTGAAAATACTTATTTAAACTTTTTTTGGAAATCTAAAACCAAAAATTCTATTTAATGAGAGCCTGACTGTGCAACATACTTAGCCTACCAAAACTACTCAAGGTTAGTTTGGTCCCTGCGCTTTTAGCTGAGAAAATCTGCAGAGAATGTTTTCTTTCATCCTCACTGTTCTGCCTCTGAGCTTCATTTTAAGATTAATATCAGAGACCTTACACAGGGTACTACAAATAAATTAAAAGGTGGATGGAGGTTGTAGAGGTGGTTTCTCAATCAGGTTTTTATACATCTAGCACCACTGGGCCCCAAATTTGCAAAACTACAAAGCATCCACTTAAACATATTCATTTAACAAAACTGGGATTACACTGCTTTCTGAAACTATAAATACAAATGAAAGTAAGTATCAAGTTACCTATTATTTCATAGCATTTTTAGTTGCAAAACATGAATACGTGCAAATTTACACTTCTGCCTACTCTTGTTAGAAACCTGTAAAAACGAAATGGCTGTGGTGCTGATATTTGTTTATTTTTGTTTGCCTGATTGGTTTCTTTTAATTCCAGGCTCAAAAGCAACAGTCTGTCTACATGTAACTACTCTCCTTTATAACCCATGCCCTAAGCTTTGTGTGGACGTGGACTTGCACCAAGATTTTGCATTAGTTTTAAGCCTTAGACTTTGCCTCAGTATCCAGCAGCCTGTATAAAAATACAGCTACTCAAATATAACTGTCTGATTTCAAATTTAGCACCTTTTACATATATATATATATATATGTAAGATACACAAAGTGAGCAAACTGCCACCACCCGAGAAAAGAAAACCTGCCTTGTGGGAAGGCATTTTCTATTTTTCTCTTGATTATACTAACTTAATAAAACAAATCTGTTCTCCTCCCACCCAGCTTCTGCTCTTATACTGAATTTCTCAGCACGTTATTCCTCTTCGCTGCTATATTCCCTATTAACCTCACAGTTCTTGGCCTGGTTACACACCTACCTTCAGCTTCAGCTGCTGGATTTCTTTCCTTTGCTCCTGTCTTTCCAGATGTCCACTTTTCAGTTCCTACACTTGTCAGTTCCTATGTAAGCACAGTTACACTATACTTACTAATATAATAAACGTATAGAAAATGCAGCTTATATATTATTAGGCATAAAGGTTTGTCTTAAAACGTAAAGCAGTACTCAAAACCTCCAACTGCTCAAATTACATGAATAAACAGAAAGCATTCTTGAAACTATTTTAAATTACATATATTAAGAGGAAAAAAAAAACACTTGCTTTTACAATATTAGTGGACTACCAGCATAGACTTCCCATGCCAAGTCACAAGATTACAAAGAGTTCTCTCAAGTGTGTTTTAAACCACTCAGAGTGCATCTGAAAGGAGAAACCATAAAACCATTCCCATAAATAACCCCTTGTTCTCTAAGATAGCCAGATCGTTTTACAGCAGCATTGATGACATGGGAAAGGGAGGAGGGGAAATACACAATGTGTTCTGCTCCTAAAAAGGAAATATTAATTTCAGTGCACATTTTTGGAGTGCCATTAGGATGACACACATAAAGTCTCACACATTTTCCCTGCTCCCAAGATAATATTTTCCTTTTTTTTCTTTTATGATAGAGGTTCCAGATGGGTTTCCAAGGAAGAAGCTGAACATTAAAAGGGTCATGATAAACCTTCAAAGACCATAAGTTTAGCCGAAAAAAAATTGTACCAGAATGCTGCAGGCAGCCACTGCTTTAGTCCTACATTAATTAAGGCTGTACTACCTTGGCACAGGTACTATAATGAGCAGTCCCATTCTTCCCAGACATTTTGTGAATTTTTCCCATAGGCTTTGTTGCTGTCACTTCCCACACTGACAGTGACTTCCTTCAGTAAGACAGTTTTAAGCAACACCATTCCCTAATATTATATGCACACTCACACTACTAGCTTTCAAAAACTGTGCCCACCCCTATCAGAGTAAAATGGCTGTGAAGCTACAGTGCAAGTGCCAGTGGCTACACTAAGAAGCATCAGGAAGGTTCCAGAAACAGCCTTTGGTCCCATTGCTCTGCACTCCCACACCAGATACAGCTACTATGACCAAGAAACATCACTAATGTATAGGCAAATAAAAGAGCAGAATTTGATTAATTGTGCATTTTGTTAGGTCTGGCTGTGTTGGGGGATTACTGCGGCGTTGTAACACAGCAACCAGCTCTCTTTGCAGCCATTACACCTCTGAAAGTCAAACTCATACAGTTCCCAGTGTGACCACCTTACTCTTTCTTCTCTTTCACAGAGTGAAAGGAAAACCCTGTAGCTTTACAGTGAACTGCATGAGACTAACACAGTGCATCATTAGTGCGCATCAATTGTTGTGGCCAAGAGGTTGAGGGAGGTGATCCTCCCCCTCTAACTGCCCTGGTGAGGCCACATTTGGAGTACTGTGTCCAGTTCTGGGATCCCTGGTTAAAAAAAAAACAACAGGAATCTCCTAGAGAGAGTCCAGTGCAAGGCCATAGAGATGATGAGGGCCTGGAGCATCTTTTGGACAAGGAAAGGCTGAGAGACCTGGGGCTGTTCAGCCTGGAGGAGACTGAGAGGAGATCTTATCAATGCTAATGAATACCTAATGGGCAAAAGTCAAGTGGATGAGGCCAGCGAAAGAAAAAGGGGCAGTGGACACCAACTGGATCATGGGACGTTCCATGTGTTGCAAGCCGAAATGGCTTGCAGTTTGTTGTATCAATCTCAGTCCCTCCGAATTAAGACTCAGAAAATAGTCAAGTTGTTAATCAAGCAGAAGTGTGCCTTTATTTATTAAAAGATGGGAGAGCAAGAGAGGAAAAGGAGACAGAGAAAGGGAAAGAAAAGTAAGTCACTGCTGTGAATCTCATGATGTTTAAGCTCAGAGAGGGTAGATTTAGGTTAGATATAAGGAAAAAATCTTTTATAGTGAGGGTATTGAGGCAATGGAACAGGTTGCCTAGGGATATGATTGATGCTCCATCCCTGGAGACTTTCAAGGTGAGGCTGGATAAGGCCCTGGGCAACCTGGTCTAGCTGTGGTGTCCCTGTTAATTGCAGGGGAGTTGTACAAAACAGCCTTAGTTCTGTGATTCTATATTCTGAGGGTCTGTCCTTCTGCTTCTGGGGTGGCTGAGGATGTACAGGAGCAAGCGCCACTGGCTGACAAAAGCATATGCCTTTTATGCTGTATGATGGTCCCTTCTACTTGAGCCAGGAGTTGTTGCCAGGCATAGGATGTCCAGTATCAAGCACTGCATGCATGCTGTACCAGCCGTGCTTCTCCATTCACATAGTGGCCATGGAGGGTTGTGGTTGTGTGAAGGACCTAAGATCACCTTAAGCAAGACCACTAATTCCTGACTTGCACTTGCGCACAGCATAGGGTTGCTCAGTACCCTTCACAAAAGTGTTAAAGTACAGGTCTTGTTCTGGGGCCTTCACAAGACTGTTACAGTTTTGTAACAAAAATTCACAATGTTACTGTTCCATATGGAGTTGTCAGAGTCCAAACACAGGAAAGAAGGAAGTTTTTAGTGTGAGAACGGTGCAGTGCTGGAACAGGCTGCCCAGAAAGGCTGCAGACTCTCCTCTGAAGATACGCCTCCATGTGTGACCTGCTGTGGGGAGCTGCTGCAGCAGGGGGTTGGACCAGACGATCCCTAGAGGTCCTTTCCACCCTCTACAGTTCTGTATAAAACCAGCAGTGCGAGGCAAACTGCTGGTTTACTAAGCTCATCTGCAACAACAGTAGTTACTTCAAGTACTTGGTGTAAAGAACACACCAGATCCAGATGCTTTTATCCCGCTCTATTCTCGCTGACAGGGTCACCTGTGCCCTCAGCCACCCCTCGCAGCGGATCTCCCGCAGGCAGCGAGCCCTGCTCCACCTTGTCCGCTCCCCCTGACCCTACAGGGCCCCGGGGACCCACGGCAGTCCCCGCCCTCCTCAAGCGAGAGCGGAAGTGCCGTCAGAGGAAGGCCGGCCGCCCGCCCTCAGCGGAGGAAGGACGGGCTGTAAGATGGCGGCGGCGGAGGAGCGGCTCCTGTCGGAGGGGGAAGGCGGCGCCCCGGGTTCGGCGCGGCTCTCCCCGCCCCCGCTCTCGCAGTCTCCCGAAGCCCCGGCGCCCTTGGAGCAGCCGCCTCAGAGCAACACGCTGATGGGGCTGCCCATCGTGGCCATCGAGAGCATCCTCAGCTTCCTGTCCTACGACGAGACGAGCCAGCTCCGCCTGGTAGGGGCTGGGGAGGGGAGGGAAGGCGGGCGAGGGTCCGTGCCGCGGCCGCCCCGGGAGCCGCCGGAGCGGAAGCAGCGCCGGGGAGGAGGCGGGCAGCCGGTTGGGCAGGGCTGAAGCTTCCCCATTCTGCCTGCCCCGCGCCTCCCGCACGGGCGTGCAGGTGTGAGCCGTGCCCGCGTTCCTAGAGGGACCCTGCCGCCTCTTCACGCCTTTGATCCCATTCCGAGCCCTGTAAAGCAGCGCGGGGTGCCGGAGACGTAAATCCCCGGGTGTAGGAGGTGGCGAGATCGCTGCTCCGAGGACCTTACCCGGTGTCTAGAAAGAAAAGTGGGGCAGGAAAGGAAGACTTAAAGCCGTGTCTGCCCGAGAGTCCGCCTGCTGCTCCCAGCCGTGCTCACGGATCTAATAAAAGATACGAGCTCCACCTGCAAACTTCGTTGTGCCCAAAAAAGCTCGGAGGTCAGCGAGGAGATCAGTATTAGTCTTCAACTGCCTCAGGAGCCTCGTGTAAACTGTGCCATAATATGACTGGCTGTGATCTTGCTCAATTTTGTATGAGATCATGTATGGAATAATAGTGAGGGAATTAATACGCAGCTTATGTAACCCTCTGTCAACTTGCCTGTGCTGTTTCTAGTTTAAGAACTCATTAGCTTAAACCAGATAGTATTACATATGTATTTCTGCAGAGAATTGGACCGCATTTGTCCCAGATCAGCAACCTGATTCTAAACTGAAAGCTCTTTAAGCAGAAGCTCTGGTTTTATTCATACTGCACCAAACACACAGTACAGTCTTTAACTCAGAGGGCGGTGAGGCCCTGGCACAGCTGCCCATAGAGCTGTGGTGCCCCATCGCTGGAGGTGCTGCAGGCCAGGTAGGATGGGGCCCTGGGCAGCTGAGTTGGGGGCACAGCCCTGCCCATGGCTGGGGGTTGGGGCTGGGTGGGCTTCAGAGTCCCCTCCAACCCACACCATTCTATGATATGGTACTTAATATTTCTAGCATGCTGTCAGTCCTATAATCTCCAAAGATTTGCCTCTTCTGTGAGAGTAGATAGTGGATGTGTGGGGGAAAAAAAATAGTATGACTTTTATGGATGGCAGCCTCTACAGTTTGGATAAAGGGAAGTACATGTGTACATGTACTGTGTACTGTGTACTGTACTGTGTACTGTGTACATGTGTACATGTACTGTGTTTGGGTGTGCTTACTGTCATATACTCTCTATTGCTGCACTAGGCACCGCTCTTTGCTTCAGTTTTCCTGTTGCATTTTATAAATGGTAGCTGTGGGAACTGTCACTAAGCAGTAGGAGGGTTTTCTTCTTCCTCTAAGGCTGTTAGTGTTTATAAACAATGCTTTGTCAGCAGTGAAGTTCAGAATGGGAAAGGTGGTATAAGGACTTAAATAACTGCTTAATTCTCCATGTTTCTTAAGAAGTGAAACAACCTCTCTTATGTAGCACAAGTCCATTTTTTCAAGAAGACTGTTGCTATGAGCCATTTCAAGAACAGCAAAAACAAAGTGGATAAATATCAGTAGAGATGCACATACAAGGAATAAAACTAGATGTAGATGAGGGAAACTACTCATAGAATCATGAAGGCAGGAAAAGATGTTTCAGATCATCTTATCTAACTGTTGACCATCACCACCCTGTCTGCAAATGCCACATCTACACGTTTCTTGAGCACCTCCAGGGACACTGACTCCAACACCTCCATGGACAGCCTGTGCTAATGCTTAACCATACTTTCAGAGAACGTTTTCCTAATATTCAACCTGAACCTCCCCTGGTGCTCTACACCCTTCACTGGCTTTGTTGCCCCAGGGGTCCCCTTGGATGATGCCAGTGGGACAGCATGGCATATGGGCACTGGGGAAATTGATCTTTCCCTATTTTTAATTTATGAGTAGCTGACAGCCAAAAACCTTAATTTTCATTGCATTCCTCATGGTGCCCTTAAGCACACAAGGTGAGAAAATACACGAAAAGCACACTTGTCTTGTTTAACAAGCACTAACGTCAAGACTCACTGCCCTTCTGGTCTGGCCTAATCAAAACCACATATACTTGATCATCTCGATCTTTTCAATTGCCATGCAGAACTAAAGGTGTTATTTTGGTGGTTCACTGGAGGCTAAACAGAGGTGAGGAAACTGGACATAACTCCAGACAATATTGATGGAGAATTACGGTAGCATTTCAAAATAACATTGTTTAGGCATGAGTTCATAATGGAAATTCATCATTGTCAGGTTTTTAAGGGCAGATAACTTTAGGATACACTTGTGTGTTTGTGCATTGCACAAACAGCAAACTTTTCTTTGAGAATTTACTTGAGTTGCTTCTCAGAATGCATTTCATAATGAGTAGGATTCTGCTAAGGATATGTTATGGGACCAAATTAATTGAATGGCAGGGATTAAATTCCTTAGGTCTCATGCTCATTAAAAGTATGCTCCGAAACAGCCTCATTATCCCATGGAATGCATTCTTAGGGTTAAAGCACCTTGGGGAAGGCAGGGCATCAATTGGCCTAAACAAACCTTACATACACTGACAGAAAGTGTGGAGTCCCTAAACTGATAGCTTTGAATGCTGTTGCAGGGGGAAGGAACGCTTTTTAAGTAGCCTTACATTGTGAATAGGAAAATGGCAAAGCAGGAATGAAAACCTAGAGCCATTTTCCTGGAACAAGTCATTTCACTTAATTATGCCTTATTTGTATGATGCTATATTCACTTAAGTGGAGCCTGCACTTTCCTGAATAAAATAGAGTAAAATTGAGTCAGTACTTCCTTCTGAAATCACTTTGAATTCTACTGGTAAATGTATATGTGTACTGTCTATTAAATGTGGTAACATCCTTGTCTGGAAGAAACAAGTCTTCTTTTTGAGATGCAATTATGTGACATTTGGAATGCTGAGTAGTGCTCCTCCTAATGAAGGGTAGTTAGTTTTGAGCATGGCTGCTACATAACAGTTTACTGTAGCGGTGTCACAGTCACCGAACTTTGGTCAGTTGTCCTAAAACAGTAGGATGGGCTTGTGCCCCTCTAAGTTCTCTTTCCAGATGCAGTCAGCCAAGAGGATGAGAGCTGGACACTTCTGAAGTGGGGTAATAATGATGTCCTTAGTCTCAGCTTGGAAATACATTTCCATTCAGGCTATTGCCACATGACTGCAAACAAACAGTCCCACAGTGAAAAGCAAACAATTAATAAATGCCTTCCATGAACACTGAAGATAAGGTTACCTTGGATTGAGGCACATATCAGAAGTGTCTTAGATTGTGCAGCAACTTTGCACTAGTGTTCTGCAGAGCGCAAATAAGGACTGCTCAGCTTTAATCTTCCCACAGTTTCAATAAATCTGTATTTACAGGCATTTCTATTTTAAGGCTTGCTGAAGTCATCAGCATTTTGTCACTTATTCTTTAACCTACAAAGGCGTTATGAAATACAGTGTCTGTGTAGCCTCTATTGATTTTAAAAAAGAACATGCAATGAATCTGAACACTTGGAATACATTTTTACCTCCAGTTTTGATACTGGTCATCTGTTAGTGAAGTTGGGAAGAAATAACACGTGCTTGAAGGAAGGGAAGCTGTTGGTCCTCTAGCAGATTGAGTCGCTTTGTTTATAACGAAGTGGAAAATGAGCTCTTCTGCCAGATCTGTTACTGTATACATGTCATCATGCTAAGCAGAGCCACCTTTTACATTTCATATGGTATTGGAAACAACTTTCTAACACTGAAATTTGAACACAGTGTTCTACTTGGGCTGGCATTTGAGGGAATGTGGGCTGATGTAGCTTTATGGCTAGAGTAAGGAAATATCCACAAAACTCGGCAAATATGAGCAAGTTTGAACTTCTGGCTTTCTTACAGTCCATTGGGATAGGAAATATCAGAAACTGTCTTGGACCAATATGAGCACTGAAAATGGTGATATGCTGCTTTAGGTATGACTGCTGATAAAGCAGTCCAAGACAGGCATTCTTGTAACTTCAAGTGTCGTATTTTTAAATGGTGTCACAGGGAATCAGTTGAGATCTAAGAGGTGACATTAAATAAGCTGCAGACAGTCATTATTGGTTTCTGATGGCATCAGTTTAGTGTTTGGGTTCTAGACTGCTTGTTGTCACAAACATGGACAGTGTCCAGAAACCAGGGCAAATTAGTAAAATTAGAAAATCTTATGTTTAAAAATCCAGTGCAGTTCTTAGCTGTTACAGCCTGCTGCCTTTTGGATATGGGAGGTATTTTCTGCCACCAGATGTCAGTATAAACATGATGAAAATTTCCCTTTGTGCTTCTCCACTGTTTGTCCCTAACAATGTATCTTGGATTTTGGAGTTTTTTGCTTGCTTGTTTTTCTCCTGCTGAATAACTGTATTGTTAACACAGCCCTTGTGCAAGTGTGACTTTCTGTTTCAGGGTTTGGTAGCATTAGAGCAGGTATTAATGTCATTACTACCTACTGCTGTGAAAGAAAACAGCTGTTGGTATCCAACATAGCCAGCAAAGGAATCTGTTAAACAGAGAAGACTTCTGTGTGAAAAGGAATCTAAAAGGAATCTAGCACACAATCTTGCTTCTTGTGTGCTAGAGTGCATAATTCTTTCATTCTGTCTGTCTTCCAAAAGATGAACTATAAGCATCGAAGGAAAAACATCATTTCTTAAGGCATCTTTCTGAGATAATACTGACTTCATAGAATCATAGAACACCAAGGTTGGAAAAGACCTCCAAGACCATCTACCAGAGTGACTCTGAGTGACAAGAGGGCTTTTCAACTTCCACTATCATTAGAAGGAAATTTTGTCTGCTTATGCATGAGTGGAATTCAGCCTACTGTCTCTTGTTATGCAGAATCAGGAGACTTGCTTGTGAACTGTGTGGAATGTAGCATTCCTTCCTGATCAGTATTAGAGATGGCAGTGCCTTAAGTTGTACTGCAGTTTCTGTGTCTTGAAATTCAAGAAAAACTGCTAAGGGAATCTTGTGGTACTCAGCAAGTATGTGTAAGATAATAAATAGTAAAAGTGTCTTGTGACATTATTTGATACTTAAAAGATTTTTTTGTTTTACTTAAATACAGGTTTGTAAACGAATGGACTTGGTTTGTCAACGAATGTTAAATCAGGGATTTCTAAAAGTGGAAAGATACCACAACTTGTGTCAAAAGCAAGTTAAAGCTCAGCTTCCAAGGTATGTACCAGCTAAAATTGTTGAACTTCAATGTGCTAGATTTTTTTTTAGCATTATACTAAAAGGGAGATTCTTGCTGGCTAATTTGGTTACATATCTTGAGAATTTGAATCTCTTTTGTTTTCTATTTTTCCCCCCGAAAGCATTATAACCTAAGATCTAATTACAAGATAATGGTGTGGATGAATGTACCTTGCATTATACTATACTAGGAGCTGGAATATTGGAAATTGTCTCTGGTGTTCTAAACAGTGTAAAGAAGAGTCTTGTGTTCTTCAGCCTTTCTGGCAAAGCCAGAAGGGATGCCTAGAATGAATAAATGCTATTCCTCTTCAAGACAAACTGATGATTTGTCTATGGCTCTGCTTAAAAGGCAAAGTTCTTCAGTGCCAGGGATTAAATTAGGAAAGGGAGGAGACTGTGAGCTCTCATTACTGGGAGCTTAAGGTTCTCTTAAAAGCAGTATTTTTTCTCCTCTTTCCAGTGTATATGTGCAATTGCTGCTGCCCTATCCTATCAGATTTCCCAATCAAAGTGAAGAAACTAAATGCTACTTACTGCTGAGATTATTTGCCAAAAGCTTGTACTTCAGCTTGAGCTTTGTAGCCAGCAGTAATGCTGTATTAAATCTGTGTGTTGCGTTGAAATATTAAATGCAGGAATATGGGAGGATAAAAATAACCACCCTGACTCATTGTCTGCTGCTAGTTAGTACTGAAAGCCTGCTTTTAGCATCCCAAATGACATACAGAGTTTATGGGTAGCAGAAGATGTAATTACTTAGAGAAAAAAAAAATTGTCTTCAGAAAGTGTGCAATGCTGTTATGAGCTGATATCTAATCTCTGCCGTGTTTTGTCCGTAGACAGAACAAATGTAGCGGTTATGTTTTCAAACCTCTAAATGGTTTTAAGGATTAAATTGAGTGACAGTTAAAGTTTTATTTTGTGAACTCCTTGTTGAATTACTGCATGTAAATCACTTAATGGTCTGTCTTCTAGACGAGAGTCAGAAAGAAGAAACCATTCGTTAGCTCGTCATGCAGACATCCTTGCTGCTGTAGAAACGAGACTCTCTTTGTTAAATATGACTTTCATGAAGTATGTGGATTCCAATCTCTGTTGCTTCATACCTGGAAAGGTAAAATGTAGTCTAATTTATGTGAATGTGTATGTTTTTTAAAAAACATGATTGTGTAACTTCAAGTAAATTTGTCCCAGCTGCTCCAGATTGTGTAATGTATATGCTACTGAAACTGATTGAGATACTTAGAACACACAAGTTAATGCTCCTATGTAACAGGCAGTGTGAAATGAATGAACCAGACTGTATCTAAATACCATTTAAAATTTAATATCTACTTTCCCTCAGGATTTTTACAAGGATTTTTATAACACAGGACATGTAGGGTTTAACTCTGAACTGTAACTGTACAAAATAGCTGGACTCCAGGTCATCAGAAGATACAGCAGAAGACTAAGTTTTTTTTCATATGTGTTTGAATACTTCAAGTTAATTGAAGTGAGATGTATATAGTATGTGGAAGCACCTTTCAGTGTTGCTGTGGACGAGGTGCTTCTGTAAATTAGGTGGGTAAACTTTAAATGTACGTAAACTTTGTTCAGTATTATTACTACTAAACAGTTCTGATATTTCAGACTACTACCCCAGCATAAAGTATAAATTAATCAAGTTATAGGATTGTTTTATAAGCTGTAAAAACAGAGGAATAGAGGGGAACTGACAAGATCATTGTCTGAGGAAGAAACTCAAAAAAAGCTTGGATTGAAACAAAATCTGTGTCCATTAGCTTAACATTCTGCTATTCATGGGCTGAACTGGGTTGCTCTGGGATGAATGCAGAAGTTAGCTGTTGGATTGAGATGAAGCATGGCAGGCGTTTCTGCATTCAGTACAGCAGGATAGGCTATCAGCATGAAACAGTTTTTGTCTTGAAGAGGTAACTTGATTTCCATGCATTTTTATTGCCTTGATACTAAGTTAATCTAAATTACTATAGTTTAATATATTTAGGTTTATTAAGTTTATATTACTTTTATATCTATAATCTAATTTAAAATACAGTGTAATATAACAAAGTCAAATAAATGTAAGGCTGTGATATTCATGTACTGAATAGAATACCTAAAAGAAATGTTGCCTTACTTTTCCTGAGGAGCAGGTGGAAAGGCAGTGCTGAAGCTAGACCTGGGGTGTGTAGAAGTTGTGCAAACAAGTTTGGCAGCCATTTTCCTTCTGGGCACTGGGTCATAAAGACATTATTTGTATTCCTATGTAACAGCTAAAAGAGATCTTTTTAACTGTTTGCTTGGTATACGAGCTCGATACCGCTGCTGCTCTTTCACCACAGTTATCAGTTCACCAGGAAGTCAGATTTTGGTCAAGCCTATTCAAGGTTCAGCATGTGATTTTCCCCCAGCTGCCATGTTTGAATGAAGCTGCTGCAGAACTTTCAGGAAATGAATGTGTTAGAACACGTGAATCCTGGTTTGAGGTTCAGCATATTGTGTTAAGGGTTCTTAACAATTCATAGTGAAGTGCCACTGCAAGATTTTATGTTGAGGATAGCAAAAAAATGCTTTGTGGATGTTGTTACTGACGGGATATAATGTGAATAAAATTAGAGAAAGAAGCCTTTGGGAGCTTCTTTCTCTTGTGAGATGGGATGCTCTGTTGATTCTAGGCTCTTGAGGCCCACATCCTTCAGTAAAGTCTTAAGCCATTCTTAATCATGTGCAAAATTCCTGGCTTGGTAGTTTCTGTAGTAAGAAACCAGCACTCTATCTTGGCCTGCACAAACTGTAATTCATAGATTAGTGAGGCACCTTTCATCTCTGTAGTTCTGCTAAACAAAAGGCTGCTTTTCAAGCCTGTTTAAGAGGGTGCTTATGCTCTCTGCCAGTCCTGGATTGGTATTTCATAAAGTAATACATTTTGGGTGTAATCCAAATTTGCAATATTTTGAGTAGGAGCAAGTGAATTCATGTAAATATTTACAGCTCTTCAGACTGACATAACAGTAATTCTTGTTATTCCATTCCTGTGTTGTGTACATCTCATGACTGGCTGTGAGAATGACTGCTTACTGAACAGTTTTTATCTTGGTTCTCCAAAAAGAAATGACGATGCTTTACTGAGCATGTAAAATGTCAGTATGGATGCAGTAAAACAATTTCACACGTGTTAATTCATGAGTTTCAATAGAACTGTGATCCATCAAGTGAATGCTTTTGTCTGGTATATCGCAAACGATACTTCATTTCCAAACACCAATAAAGAACTAACACACAGAGTGATGTGCAGGAGTAGTAGTTCTGTAGTGAAAGTCTCTGATGTGCCAACGCTTTTAGAATGATCTGAGATAATCTTGTCTTTATCAGAAAAATCCTAATTCTTCTTAAATGTTTTAGGTAATAGATGAAATTTACCGTGTGCTAAGGTATGTAAACTCTACAAGAGCTCCTCAAAGAGCTCATGAAGTTCTTCAAGAACTAAGGGACATTTCTTCCATGGCTATGGAATATTTTGATGAGAAGATTGTTCCAATACTGAAAAGGAAGCTTCCTGGGTCAGATGTATCAGGACGTCTGATAGGAGCTGCCCCAGGTATTAATTCCAATGTATAGCTAAGTGGGTTTTTTTGTTGTTGTTTTTTTATTATTTTATTTATTAAAACTCAGAGCACTATCTTTTTAAAGCTCCCTCCCTTCAATAAGTGAGCTTTATCACATAGGAATTAACGATACTTGTTTCTTAAGAATGCCAGCCATGAAATTCATTCGCTTTGTAATTTAAGGAGGCTTTGTATTGGCAAAAGAACGGTCACTTGAATGTATGTTACAATTATGCACAGTGTGTATTCATTAAACAAACGCTTTTGTGCCACCAATGAATGAGACTTTATCGTTGCACTTGGTTGAAATTTGGCACATGAGATGACAACTCAAGACGCCTTTTATATTTAGTAAGGATCAGCAAATGAATTGGCCTAAGTTGCTGTAGTACATAGAGAGCTAGAACACACAAGTTTGTGCTTTCTTTGCATTCCCAAAGCAACAAGGTATATGTTAACAATCAAAATGCTTGTGGGTAACACTGAAAAGGCAGCTAAAATAATAGTCTGTAAATAAACAAACTGGTCCTTTGTAAACCTCTCAGGCTTTCCATAATTGATGTGAACCGAAGTGCTAAGGTAGTTGCCTCATAGAATGGCCAGAAGCAAAAAGTTAGTAGAACTGTAGTGTTTTCCCCGTCCTGAACTTCTTTCCACACACCATTGGAGAACTGGATTGCAGAATATGCTCTTTGAAAGGATAACTCAAAAAAAAAAATATTACAGCTTAACCAAAAATGAGAGGTTGAACTGTAGGAACTGCATGTGGTTTGCTGCATGTCTCGTCCATCCCTTTAGCCATAAGGCTGTATTCCACCTCTTAATTATATCTAGATAATTATACCTCAATTCCAATGAGTCTGTCAGCTAAGGAAGCGTTGCCCAAAACCATAGTTGATGTCAATCTGCTCACCAAACCCAAGGCTTAATGTGATGTGAAAGTACCTATCCTGTGTTGAGGGAGTAGCATATGTAATGGTAACCCTCTAGTGTCAAATAAGAGGATCTTAAAGAAAAAAAAGGAGAGGATGACTGTTCAAGGCTGTTCCAGATTGTTCTGTCTTCATTTTACTTGCACTGCATTGCTAGAAGAGTAAAACAGTAGAAAAAGTGATGGATAGCTTTTTATGTTAGAAGAAGTGAAAGAAATTATACAGTAGCTGTTAGTCTCCTTGATTTGCAGGAATTTTAATAAAAACAACATTCCCAAGCTCAAACTCCAGTATGATTTTAGGACTTAGGAAGAATGAGTATACATCATCATGGAAAATAAATCCCCTTCTTCTAAAAAGTAAGTTAAACTGAGATATCTTGTTAAGCCCTGAATAGGAAACAATTAGAATTGTAGCTATCTACAACTATGACAGCAGAATAAGAGTGCCCTACTGAAATACATTTCACATAGATATTGTATAATACGTCTAATTTATAGCTGTACTGCAGGTTTTTGACTTAACATGTGTCACTAACTCTAGCTGACCACATGTTCTCTCTGTAATTGTTGATCTGGCTGAAGGTGGGGGGGGCTTATATATGGAAAATGAAGAATGAGCTGTTTTCCATGTTACTGGAAATCCAAGTATTTAAAATTGAACTAGCTGTGACCTGAAATGCCACGTGCTCTTGTTAGATACTTAAAATAACAGTAAGTCTGTTTCCATGTTCACCCAGCCAGTATTCAGATTTGTGCTTGGGGGTGATGTAGGGGTAAGCAAAGTAGGAGAGGTGGGACACGATCTCTGCTTTTGTCTAAACGTGTGGAGTACTAACCAGAATTTCCTCTGAAGTTCCAGGGCCTTCTGCAGCACTAACAACAATGCAGCTGTTCTCCAAGCAGAATCCTTCAAGACAGGAAGTCACCAAACTCCAGCAGCAAGTAAAAGCAAACGGTGCAGGTGTGACAGTGCTAAAGCGAGAAATCTCAGAGCTTCGCACCAAAGTGCAAGAGCAACAGAAACAGCTCCAAGATCAAGATCAGAAACTGCTAGAGCAAACCCAAATCATAGGTGAACAGAACGCCCGATTGGCTGAGCTCGAACGCAAGCTGCGAGAGGTGATGGAGAGCGCAGTAGGAAGTTCTTCAGGTTCTGGTTCAAATGAACAATCTCCTAGAAAACGGAGGAAGGCGGTTGAATCCACAGACTGTCCTAGGAAATCTAAACGCCTTCGAAACAGAAAATAACTTGGGGAGTCACTGACGCCTTCAGGAAGATACACTGCTTTAGTAGCCCAGGCAGGTCTGCTCCTCTGGATACTGTGATTAGCTTCATGGTGTCACGTAGGCTGCTGGCTCTTCAACACACCACTTAGACTTGAACGTGAATTTTCTTTCATTGAGACTTTTCCCCTGCTTTCTGGATGGGTGGGCCTAAATCACAGGATCTCTAAGATTTGCAATAGATACATACTAACCAGACCTGCTCTGTTACATTTTGAAGGGTTAACCTTTTTTTTTTTTTTTTTTTTTTTCTCCGTGCAAACGTGTTGAAAGTAAACTTATTTGTGTTTATGCGTATGTTCACATAAAATCTTAAATAAATTCAGTCTTAACTGACTAAAAAGTTGAGCTTAAAAGCAGATGTCCTGTTCACTTGAAGAAACGCTTTTAAAATCATGTTTTAGAGAACTTGACTTTTTTGTTACAAGTGACCTTGTCTGGAATGTCTGAAAAGCAGCAAATACTTTTTTGGGATCTCTGTAACAAGTAAAACAGACTTCTTCAGTTACGCTATTGCCTATATATTTTTGTAAACTTATAAGGAAAGGCCTATTATGCAATCATCACATGCACACGCCCTAGTTCTAGGTCTTGGCAGCCATATTCTACATTTGCATGCATAGATGCATGTAGAGCTTAGCCTGCTAAAAGCACTTGTCTGAAGTTGTCCTTCTCTCTGAGTACAGAGCCCTGTAGAACAATTCCTTCATTCCTCAGCCACAGCTCCACACCTGCATGCAGCACAACTGCTTTCTTACAGCAGGGTGGTCTTGCAGAGCTAGCAGCAGGAGCATTGGGAGCCAGCTATGTGCAGGCTACCTGCTGCTTTCACTGCCTGCAACTTGCAGGGATTGTTGGCCAAAGCAGGAGAATTGAGAAGCCACCTATGCATCACTTGATACATAGGCAAACATAAGAATCAGACAAACTGTCTCTCTGGTAACTAAACTCAGGGGGACGCCATTTGAATGAAATGCTGTATTACAGAAAAATTTAAGCTATTTTGTGTGTATGTGTTGGGAGTGGAGTGGAGATTTCTCTGTAATACTGAGGCCAATATTCCAGCCTTCTTTGTCCTGACAGGTAAATCGCTTCAGACAAAGCTTTAATTTCTTTTGCACTTCTGTTTTGAGCTTGTCACTGGGATAGCATGTCTCACACCTTCAATCTCCCTGCTCACTTTAACAACCTCAGAGTTGTATACAGTGATTTTCTTTTCTTATCTGTATATTTTTGGAACCTTATACAAGTACTATTGTCCTTAGTTTTGTTTTAATGTACTAAACTATGTAGCTTTATCATTTGATTTAAGTTTTAGGGGTTTTTTCTTGTTTGTTTGTTTTTTCTGCTTTCGGCCTAGGTGGTGCCCAATTCAACTTGGCATGGCACTGAAAGTGCAAATGCTGCTTTGTAGCTGTTCAGAACTCTGACACCCTTACCAGAGGTTAAAGTGTGGCTTTCTTGTAGTGCTGACATGGGGGTTGTACGTGAATCACCAACAGAACCAGAAATCGTCTGGCCAAATGTTCCAAAATTGTAGGAGAACAGATATTTTTCCTGAAACTTCAAGATTTTGCTTCTGGGACATATGGGCTCATATCAGGACTGACACTGCAAATGCCAAATTTTTGGTAGATGATTTTCAAATATACCTGTTTGACAGTTTTAGGCTTTTCAGAAGGCATGTTTCTGAAGAAGAGCACTGAACAAGTGGTGCAAGGTTACCTGGGGGAGACATTACCCGGTAAAGGCCGATTTGCTGTTACTGGTCTTCCACTGCTCTTGTATTTTTTACTCCTGAAGGTTGGTACTATGAATCATTCCACATGCCAGCATGCTAGCTGTATCTTTCAATATAAATTCATTTGATGGTCTTTCAGGTAGACAAAGTAACATAACGATCCAATTACCAGATACTTGTGGTTAAATACTTCTGAACAAGCATAAACTTATTTTTATTGCATTTATTGAGGCTTGTTGGTACATCTCTTAACATCTTTCACTTTAGTGTCTTTGTGTGCTTCTGCGAGATGCAAATGACACTCTTCACAACACACAGGGACATTCGAGATAGTCAGCAGCAGTGCCTTTTTTTAATATGCTGGTGAACCTGTAGAGCTATGTGTAAACTGAGATTCAAAGAACAACAGTGTATTGTTACATGAAACATTATCCAAGTGTGGTGCCAAGTCGGAACCTTCAGCTCAAGGAAGCTGCAAGTCAGCAGGTGCATCCTGACCCTCGGCACACTGCCAAGCACACTGCAATTGAACCAAGCCCACTCAGCTGCACGGGTAGAGAGGAGCAGTAAAACAAGCTCTAAGAAATGCCACTAAGGACTCAAGAAAAGTGCACAGCCTATTTTCCTTTCCACTTCCTGGGAAGGGAGAGTTCAGCACTGGATGGTCCCAAAAGGACTGGAATACACATCAGTGGTACAGAATGTAGAAAACAGAGTGAATTAATAGCTTAGAGAAAATAGCTGGACGTTAACTTCTGACTCTGTGTTGTACCTTATTAAATAAAAAAGGATGCATTTTGCAATACACTAACAAGTTGATACCTAGGCTGAAGTAAAACTAAATTAATTTTGATTTCTGTGCAAGTTTACAAGGCTTAGTGTGTCAACATGGTAAAGTGCAGTGATCGTTGCAACTAGTGACCATACAATCAAGGAGAACCTCAAACCAGTCAGACTGAGGTGTTGTTCATGAAGTAACACGAAAAGTGTTTTATTTGCAGCCAGTTATCAGACTGTAGCTTTATGACTTGTAGCAAGGGCTGGGACTGAGCAACTCAAAGTGGAAGGAAAGCGATAGCACTGGTTTTCCGTGGTTCGTTTCTGGAAATGGCTTAACAGCAAGGCTGGCTTTCCTTCTTGAGCTTATTTTATAAAACCAGCAGCTTCCTTTTTGTTTCACAGTTGTTTGGTGGGTTATTTTTTCCTACATTTGTATATGTAATGAACGTGGTGCAGACGGCCTCAGAAGACTCTAGAAGCTGTACAGTGATACTTTCTGAGGAAGGGGCTGTTAGCAGTCACATCCTGCTCCCCAAATGGAACAACACGGCATTTTCCTGTGAGTATGGAAGTACAGAACACAAGCATCTTCTGAACAAGGCCTGATGAATGTAATTGGTGAAAGCCCTGCAGTAAGGAAGACTGCCTGCTTAGCAAAATAGATCGTTCAGATTCAAGAGCTGGTAAATTCTTAAATTCCTAATACCCTTTTCATAATGCATTAATCACAGAAGTGACTGATGTTATGAGGATATCTTCACATAGTTTCTTCACATAAAAGTTAAGGCTGTTTTGAAACAGAAATCCAATTGCTTTTGTTGAGCTCTTCTAACAGTTAACTATGGGAAGTTGTCTTATCAGCTGAGGCTGTCGAGGGAATTTTCAGCATCAAGACCCTCTTGTAAATAGGATGGCATAGCATGTAGTTAAATCAGTCTTCAAATAGGACTAACCAATCTCTTGGTATTCCTCCTGGTTTTGAGAACATAACTGGAAAATTGCAGTGTCAGACCATTCTTATGTTAATCAGTAATTTCACTTTGGAGTATTTTATAGTAAAGTGTCTACTAATTGTCAACTATACTAAAGCAATCCAGTTCCATGCCTGTGGCACTCTGCACCGTATTTGGAGCAGCCTGCGTGTCCTCTGCTGTGGTGGAGTCTTGCTCACTGCATCACACCTTCCTGGTTGGGCCAGCTTTGGTTTCTGTGTAACCAAACACTGCAGGATTTTTGTCCTACCCTTGTGCCATCTGATGACATGCTACATGCTGCGTCTCTGTCTTCTAAAAAGAAAATATCAGGTAGGAAACCTGTTAGCTTTCTGAAAACCTAATGAATCTGGATTTGTTCTATGGACTGCTTAAACCAGAAAGACTCAACGATTAAACAGAAAAAAAAAATATATAATAATAATAACAACACTTTCCTATTTAATATCTTTCTCAGCTACTTAAGCTTTGTTTGGCTGACATGAGCTGTTTAGTTTATGAATGTTTATGGAATGCTGTATTAATTTTTCCCATTGAAACTTGTGGTTTCACAAACCTTCAGCACAATAACACTGCCTCTGTGTACCGAGCTCTAGTACTCCTTGAGTGCTCATAGAAACCATCAGAAACCTTTCTTATCAGGCAGACCCATTCATTCTTTGGCAGGATCATCCCAACAGATGAGAAGGCGTTTAGTGCCACGATGGATAGCAGTGCTAATATTTGAACTGCAACCCTAAGGGATAATTTTCAGAAATGTTATATACAGGGCTTAGAGTGCTCCTTTTTTTTCACTGCACATTTTAACACAGAGATTAAAAATGCATGTAACCAAAGACATTTACTGTTCTATTTTACAGAGCCTGTGCTTTGTCCATTACTTTACACCGTTTTGAAAAGGAGTTTGTATTTCCCCTGTGTTTGGTACAGCTACGGCTCAGACTTTTAGAAGCTCATGTGTACTAACCTTGATTCATTATTATTAATACATTTTAAATGAGTCATCATGAGCACTGAGATATTCATGTGACATTAATAGATAAGGTCTAGTTTTCTTTGTGATAATGTTTCCTGTTCTTTTTATAGCTGCTATGGATTTTGATTATTTTAATTTCAGTGGGTTTGTGGACAACAAAAATTCCAAGCAAACAGTTGTTTTACTTAAAATCATCCTGGTAGGCAAACAGTTCACAGTATTGTACAAAACAGAGATGCAGGAGCAGATTAAATTGAGTTTGGCTCTTAGAGAGGAATTTGCCAAAATTCTTCCTAAAATAATAGAAAACATGAAGAAATCAGAGACACTGGCTGGGGCATTTTGAATTGCAGTTAAATACCTTTTGGCACCTTTAGAAATGTGTATTTTGGCCAGATGATGGCAAGTCCTTAAAGCCACACATCCCTTACCTTTGGAATAGAACATGTTTTGTTTAAAGAACTGCTATACTTTCTTATTATGTATTTAATTCTCGTTGTATTATTTTAACATCCTATTTATTCTAACAATATTTTAATGATCCAAAAATATGTTACTGCTTTATTTATATCCTGAGTACAGCTGCTGTAACACACTGTTATTTGCACTCTCGCTGCCTAAGAAAATGAGTCACAGGGAAGTGCATTGTCTGCCCACATGCCTCTGACAGCTTTTGGACATGTCCAAACAGCCGAAAGGGGCACAGAATCACCCAAATCACACTCACAGAATCGTAGGGCTTGGAAGGGACCTCTGAAGATCATCATGTCCAACCCTCTGCTACAGCCATTCCTTGCAGTAGGTTGCACAGGGAAGCAGATCTTGAATTTCAACTCCAAGAAGCAGAGTCCACAACCTCTCTGGGAGCTGTTCCAGTGCTCCGTCACCTTCAAAGTAAAGTTTTTCCTTGCGTCTGTATGGAAGCTCCTGTGTTCCATCTCGTACCCCCTGCCCTTAGTCCAACCTTGCTGTCTGAAGACAGCGTTTCTGAAGGGCAGGCGGGCCGGGACCCCAGCACGAGAGCTGTCCTACAGTGCACTGCCTCGCGTCCGCAGGGCAGGCCGGGGAGGTGGCTGTGGTGGCAGCCGGGTGCGCGGGTCGCGGCAAACTCACTTCCCCACAGGACGGGCGGTGCTTTCTGCCATTTTGAGTTGTGGGATGGGGACAGAGGGACGTTTGGTTTCCGTGACGCTGCGGAACCAGAGGGCTCGCAGTGGTAAAGCGAGAATTACAAGCCAAGGAGTGTCCTTAACTCCTAATTAATCATGCATACAGCATTATTACAAACTAATAATGCAGACAACGCTGTTACCAGTTCGAAACGCCAGTTCCTTCCATGCGTCTCCTTGCTCCGGCCCAGTGGCTTTAAGGAGCCCTTACGACAGCGGGGCTGAGTTCAGACGAGGCCCAGGGAGGGCGACCGGGCTTCCGCTCCGCCGGGCAGCAAAGGGACGGCTCTCTCCTCGCGGCGCGACCGCGACACCGCTACCCCGAGGGCAACAGCCCGCCCCACCCTGCTGCGCCGAGGCGCCGGCAGCCAGGCGGCCCCTGAGGGCAGGCTGGGAGGCGAGGCCTGACAGCCTGACAGCTCGAGACGCCCAATCAGAAGAGAGAACGATATGGGGGCGGGCACTCTCTCTCTCAGCCATATAAAAAAGGCCGTGCCGGTGGGCGCCGGCAGTCAGGCGGCTGAAGAGTGGGGGCGTTAGAGTTGTCGCCATGGGTAACACCGTCGCCAGGGAGGACTTCGAGTGGGTGTACACGGACCAGCCTCACGCCGACCGCCGCAAGGAGATCCTGGGTGAGGGGAGGCGGCTGAGGCGCTCCTTGGCGCGGGCTGCGTGGCGAGGGGGCTCCCCGCAAAATGGCTGCCGGCCTCGCCGTCAAGGAGCCTTGGAGGCGGCGGAGCGCCCGGGCCGAGCCGCTGGGGCGGGGGGGTGCGGGGATGGGGCTTCGGGCCGGGCCTGAGGACGTGGGGGTGGCGGCCGCCGCCTTGATCGGGGCGGGGGGGGGAAGGGGAAGGAGCGGGAAGGAAGGAAGGAGAGAGAGAGAGAGGGCGGACAGCGACGGTGTTGGATAGTGACCGGAAAGCTCGCATCAGGGCTTGTGCGTTGTGTGTGGGTTGTCGGCTCCACGCCATTTCCTTCCCAGATAGGTTGAGGTGACATTAGCTCTTGCCACGTTACTGGCAAGCTGCTGAGCGACGGAAAAATGCAGAAATGGCTGAATTCTGAAAGACCTCTTATAGGTATCATTAGAAGCGTGTTTTTGTTCCCGTGGTAGATGAGTCCTTGCTTAGTGGAGGGGAAAGCATGTCTGTGTGTTTCTGTGGCTTTATTAGGCTAGAATTCTGTAAGGGAAGGTTTGTGGTGGTGCCCTGATGGTTGGACACGATGATCTTAGAGGTCTCTTCTGACCTCAGTGGTTCTGTGGTATCTGTATTTTGCGTAACTCTCTCCCCGTAGCCAAACACCCGGAGATCAAAGAGCTGATGAAGCCTGACTACAACCTGATCTGGGTGGTGGTGCTGATGGTCGCGGCGCAGCTGACTGCCTTCTATCTGGTTAGAGACCTGGACTGGAAGTGGGTGGTATTCTGGGCATATGTGTTTGGAAGCTGCATCAGCCACTCCATGACTCTGGCCATTCATGAAATCTCTCACAACAGTGCCTTTGGCAACTGCAGAGCGATGTGGAATCGATGGTTTGGAATATTTGCCAACCTCCCCCTTGGGCTGCCCTACTCAATATCCTTCAAGCGATACCACATGGATCACCATCGATACTTGGGAGGCGATGGAATTGATGTGGACATTCCCACCAACTTTGAAGGCTGGTTTTTCTGCACTCGCTTCAGGAAGTTCATCTGGATTGTTCTTCAGCCATTTTTCTATGCCATTAGACCCCTCTGCATTAATCCCAAACCAATTACTCGACTTGAAATCATCAACTTGCTGGCTCAGCTTTCCTTCGATATTGTGATCTACTATTTGTGGGGAGCCAAATCCCTTTTTTACATGCTTGCTGGCTCATTACTTGGCCTTGGGTTGCACCCGATTTCAGGACACTTCATAGCTGAACATTACATGTTCTTAAAGGGGCACGAGACTTATTCCTATTATGGGCCACTTAATTTGCTCACTTTTAATGTTGGCTATCACAACGAGCACCATGACTTCCCCAATATTCCTGGCAAGAGCCTTCCACTGGTAAGTTTAGTTCTGAGGCAGTTCTTTTTCTTAAGCTGAGCCCTACTCTGATGTGAGAATTGGGAAGAACACGTGCTATTAGAAGAATGGAAGCTAGAAAAACCCCAGAAGTTTGAGTATGGAGAATCTCTTAAGTTCAAGAGTTGAACGAAGGAGAAATGCTGAACAGATTCTAACTTGCTGTTCCACCATTCCTTAAAGGAGGGGAAAGGCCTGTCCTCATGCTATCTTGGCTCTGTGTTTTATCTGACTCCTAGGTTTCTGTAATTACAGCAGGCCACCAGTGTTCTTTTTCAGTTTGGAAGTATGCAGAAATGTAGTTAAGAAGTTAGAGGCACCTCCAAAATTTTGTCAGCTCTGTTTCAGGTATCTTAAGTAAAATAATAATGTGTATTTATCCTTCAATCACCTTTACCAAAGACATTCTCTGGTAAGGAAAAGATAAGACCAGAGATACTGCTACTATGTGTTGTAATTCTACAAACGTCCAATAGCTTTCTGTTCTGGAGTAGTTTCAGTTTTGTCTAGTGAGAACCTTTGAACTCTTTGATAAGTGTCAGCTGTACACTGACAGTTAAGGCTTCAAAGCTAAGACTTAGGCTTGCGGCATCTGCACGAGTGGCAGGTGGGACTTTCACACTGGTTTTCTCCCTCTTTCAGCTCGATGCTGGGACTCACTGACTTGCTGTTCATACCTAGCTTTGTGCTGGTGAACCAGATTTTACTTAATTTATATATGTATTTAAATTCTAAATAGGGAATTAGTTTTTGCTGCTACAGAACTGGTAGGCTATGGCTTGAATAAGAAAATAGGATTGTTTTTAAAAGAAGTGTAGTTAATTTTGTTGGACTAGAGTCTGCTATTTGGAGAGCTGAAGATAGCTGAAGTAGTGGGGTACTGCTGAGCTGCATCTGCTTTAATGACCTATTTCATAGGTGTGATGATAAATCAGAAGTATCCTCAGCTATGAACCCAGCATGTAAATAACTTGGTTCTGTTTGTTGCTTATAGAGATTAATGATAATCCTCTGAGAGTAAATTCTGTGGAACTCAGTGAAAGCTCAGTTTTGTTGTGTTCAGGCTCTTATGGCTTCAGGATGGTTAATTAGAAATAAATGTCAAGGATATTTGATTGAAACTCCAGCATTTCTAGACCTCTAGCTTAGAAAAGCAGTCTGTTCAGCCTCTACATCTAAGAGTAAAAAAGTAAAGAGAAATAGTGTTCAGAGTGAGGTTTGAAACTCTATCTTAAAATGGCTGTTAACTCTTTCAATTTCGCAACATCCCTTTTTTTTTTTTTTTTTTTTTTTTTTTTTTTTTTTAAAGTGAGACTTGTATATGCATGAGCCAGCTCTGGACTGAGTCACTTCAGCCAGCAAGCCAACAGCTTTTGTGCTTTCTCAGGGCTGGTGAGCTGCATGGTTCTGTAGGCAGCATGGTAAACAGACCTCAGGGGTAGGCTCAGCTTGTTCTGGCTCTCCTCTCCAGTGTACGAGCTTTTCAAACTACTGAGTTGTTTCAACAAATTGCCACATTATGACACTAATAGCTGTTCTAGAGTCTAACATCTAAACTGGTGCTAGTGGAAATAGTAATGTAAATAGTAAATGAATCTCGTATCTCTCTTTAGGTGAAGAAAATAGCAGCTGAATACTATGACAACCTGCCACAGTATAACTCTTGGATAAAAGTACTTTATGACTTCGTGATGGATGATACAATCAGCCCTTACTCACGCATGAAAAGGCAATTAAAGGGTGAAGTGAAGCAAGATTAAACTTCTGGCAACCGAAAAAACTTTGTCTGCTTGCTTTGAAGTGACTGGTACAAAGTCTCTTGCTAAAGATGTTAACTAGTGTCCTGAGTTAAGATCCACAGCAACACAGCAATGCATTCTTAAGGTTATTTTGTAGGAGGCTACTTCCATCTACAGCATTCCTAGCAGTACTCAGATTCATTGGTTAAATGTGTTTGTTTGCCTAAGGATCAGTGTTATATACACAACGCTAAATCTCTTTGTTACAGGATTTACTTTGGCAGGTGTTAAATCTGTATGAAATGTGTTTGGCGCTCATATTTTACAAGTTCTTAATGTAATGCACTGCCCCTACCATGCAGTTTAGACGATGGTAGTATTAAGATGCTGTACTTATCTGTTAATTCTAAACTAACATGATTCGGTCAACTTAAATCTCCTGTTGAACTTATTTCCTGGTTCAGGGGTGGAAAAACAAAATATCTGTTCTTGTTGAAGTAGGTAATGTTGTTTGAAGCATTACTCAAAACTACCTGCTCTACAGAGAGTACTCTAAAGGAGCAACGTGTCACTTAGAATGAAATAGCCATGTTCTAGATGGCTTATGTGGTGGCCTTGTTAAAAGGGGGGAATTTGATGGTATCACTGTTGTTGAGTGTCCTCACCTACTCCTTAAGTGACTTGTGCTAGTATATAGCTTGAACAGCCAGTGCCTGAAGTTGTACCTGCTGTGAGGGAACTTGGCATAATTGAGGTTTCTCTTACTGCAAAAATCTTGCTATGGTTTGGAATTCTTATTATCTACAAAGGAAAATGAGAAGGTAGAATCTGGTTGGTTCTGCTGTTTCCATGGATTTAAATACTGCCTCTAATATTTACACTTGCTTGGAAATTTGGCTGGTATGGACGACCAAATCAGTTGAACCAGATAGTGTTCTGGCAAACAATGCTAGCTACAACAACTGCAACTTGACCTTTTCAGTGTATTAGTTCTTTATGTGTGCAGAAAGCTGTTGCTAAATGTTCTTTTTTTTTTTTTTTTTTTTTTAAACCTACCCTACATAAACACTGGTCTTACTTACATAATAAAATGTGGTGAGAGCACAGGTGATGCTATTGAATTACTTGAAGCATTTAAAGTGGGAACAAAGAATGGATTTACTGAGCACTGAAGAACCTTTATGTACCTCAACACAGCATACTTCTTTTGTATCATTTAATGCGTTGGTGATAATCTTAAGTTGTGGAAGATGGATACAAATTGCTCCCAAATATCAAACGGTGATTCTATGACGTGTTCTTCTTTTTAAAAGGTGGAATCTGATAAAGGTAGAAGGCTCAGGCTGCTGTCTATGCTGGTCTGCTATAATTTCATTTTTTTGATGCCTTTCATGCCTGCATTTTTTTTTTTTTAGATGGAATACCTGAGAAGCATACATCCTTACATCTTAATCCTCACTTGATTGCAGTTCTATTTCTAATAGAGCTTTTGCTTTTTTTCTATAGAAGCCTGGGCCCTTATATGTGATTAAGTAATAGAAGTGGTATGAAGGTATGCCAACCAACCATTTACAACATGACTTCATTGTGATACTAATGATGTAGTATTTAGCCAGCATATTGCTCAGGGTACAGTGTAATGTCCAAGTAGACCTTATTCAGTATTTTTACATGTGATTAAAAAGCAAAGATTGAAGTAATAATTGGGTGAGTTTTTAACTGATCCCTTAACACTGAAGTTCTAGATCAAGCTAGTATTCAGATGGTTGCTGCAAGAAGAGCTGTCCTGCTGAGTGGTGTTGTGGAATGAACTGTTAAGAATTACTGCCTATTCTTTCTACTCTGAAGAAAATTTGGTTTGGAAGATTTGAATGGAGTTAAATTGTAAAACAGTTTATTTTTAAGCCCCTTTTGTATGTCTGCTCAAGTGAGGAATTGAATGGTGGTAGCAAGTATCTTCAGTGTTGATGGCTCACCATAGCAAAATGAAGGATGGGAAGTCCCTCCATAAGGTTTTATAGCTACAAGACTGGATAAATCAATTATCTTTAGTTACCTAGGAAAACTGAGATCAGAGATGAACTTCTTTTGTTAGGCTTAGTAGCCTACTTTCAACTCTGATCACAAACACTTTTAAGTGCAGGATGGTGGAGAGATCTGAGGAAGTTATCTATGCTTGCCATCATCTTTCTGAAACCTCTAGCTATGATTCGAGGAACACTTGTACTAGGTTAATCTGAGCCAGTAAGACTTAATGTTTGGATCTGAACTCATTAGGTTTTTGCCAGCATGGGTAACTACCCTTCTGAGGTGTCTAATCTCTGCATTGCATAAGAGTTATCTGCATCTAACTTCAATAGCAGGCGTTGTGCTAGAAGCAGATCATCTCAGAGCTGACCTATATTGCAGCGTAGCTTCATTCTTAAAGAGAAAGTTAAGAGCCCTTCTGAACCACTGTGAAGAAATTAAGATCATTTGGGAGTACTGCATTTGTATTAGATATATTCTTAACTGTTATGATTTTTCAGTCTGACAGTACAACACAAATAAGAAACATAAACAAACTTCTTATTTATACGGACAGTGTAGTTATTGTTTAAGGAATTAAATAGTCTTCATTAATGCTGCTAAAATGTGTCTGGCAGAAGCAGCTTGGTATTATTCTTGAAAGACATAACATGATGGAGGCAGCATCAACTAGCCAGTGAAGATGAAACTCAACCTAAAGAGCACTAAGGACTTTGACAGTTATTTTCAATTCTAGTCAGATGGAATGAGCTTAGATTAATGAGCTGTTTGAGTTTATTCTGTCCTGTGTGACTAAAGCATCTTACTAGGTTGTCAGTTAAACTTTTCCTTTATGTGAAATCAGCCTGGAGTTTAACTGTCAAAACACAGCTGACCAAGGGTCAACTGTTAAATGTCATCCAAGTATTGTAGCTGCAGTTAAATAGTGCAGAGCTCTGAATGCCCCTCAGGGCTTTCTGAGCAACTCTTTCTGAGCAAAGTTTTCAGAGTAAATTGCTGTTCATGGTTCTCCACACTTCCTTCCCCTGCCCCCGATTATTTGAAGTTGCTTAAGTGCAGTAAGTAATGCATCCTGGAATCTGATCCAAGACAGTTTTCCCACAGGACAGGTGTAGATTAATTCCTCTTTCAAAATGCCTTTGGCATTCCAGTTTTGCTGTGGAACCTGTCTGTTGCAGGACAGTAGCCAAATTATCCCAGATTAAATGGCTGCACCCTTCTGTCTGTATGACTCCATACTTTCAGATCCAAGCAAGTCTTTTTACTTGGAGCCATATGTCAATCAAAAAGTAGTTATGGTTTCTGGTTCTGTATCTATATTAAAACTTTTCTGCTAAGGCTTTAAATGTAGCTTGCAAGTACATAACACGTGCTTTAAATGAAAATCTATAAATGCTGAGAAATGATCTTTTCTAGGTTAGCAGGCAGTGTTACATAATGAGCTCAGCAGTGTCTCCGCCCCCTCGCCCTTTGTTCTCACACCAGATGAAGTGCAGTGCTGCAGCGGAACTTTCATCCATTTTCCAATATATAACCAAGTTCCACAATCAGTAAGGTGGCCTCATGCCATGTACTTGGTCACTGGCACTTCTCCTCTGCTTAAAGTGCCAGTGCTATGGATGAATCTGCAGGCTGCCATGCCCATTCTGGTGGATGACGAGTAGAAAAGTTGGTTTCAGATAGTAGGCAAGGGCACTATGTGCTGTTCAAGATACAGCTTTAGAAAAGTGCACTCTTTTGTAACTTGAGTTTTGAGACTTAGGGCAGAACAAATTCTGTTGTACTTAGCACAAAGCCAGGTATTTCTAGCATGCAGATATGCCTTTATAGCAATCTGTAACTGTACATGTGCAATTCTGTCAAATCCTGTATTTCAATCAAGCCTGCAATAATAGATAAGACTTCTTTAGGAGAAGAATTTCCAAAACTTTCCAATTGATCCTACACCAGCAGATTTTGTGTTGAGACTTCTCTGAACCATCTCCGCTCCCTATGCATGCTTAAGCTACCACATAATATGCCCTGGTAGAGACTCATTGTGATTTAGATCCGTGGCTAGCCTCAGGAAAAAGGAGGGAAGAATGGCATGATAAACTTTTTCTTGATCTTGTCCCAACAGAAATAAGATGACTAGAGGGAAAACTTCCTTTAGATACATCTGCTATTAAGCAAGCAGCTGCATATGCAGAACAAAGTCTTCTCTGTGCAGTAAGAACAGGCTTGTTCTTGAAGTGATGTCTATTTTTTTTTATGTATGGGCACAAAGAATCTTGCATTTTTTCTTATGAACAGTTTTTCAGTGATGAATGTTGTAGCCTAAGCAGAACTCCTCACAAGAAAAAGGAGTGTGGGTATACTTGTGTGAGCACTCAAACAGAGTACAGCTGAATGCTTTCCTGCTCCTTGACAAACAGGTAGCCCAGACATGGTAAGCAGCTTCAACTTCAAATTTTTGGTAATTTCAAATCTTCCTACACTGAGTTACTTTTCAAATGTCACACTTTAAGAGGAATGATCATCAGACACCTTGAACATTACACATATTTCAGCAAGACAAGCTATTACTACTACTTACATAGTATTTCTTTCTTGATCTTGCTTCTACCCTGCTTTCTTGTTTCTTGTATATACATAGGAATAATATCATGGCAAGAGAAAAGGAGGAGAGAATTCTTAACATATATGCCAGGACTTGAGGATTTGACTCATTTGTAAGCTTGTTAACTATAGCTATACTTAAGTCTGATAGCAGGGTTTTCTGTTATGGATATATGGAGGAAAACATCCATGTGGTTATTTTCAGTTGTGAAAGAGCGGCTTGCTTGCCACACCTTTTTGTAAGAAAGGATGCCAGGTATTTCTGCATTGTGGTGCAACTTCAGTGATACACACTTTTCTTCTAAATTTTATATGTAGCTTATTTCTTGTTTGAAACTGTTGCATGTTGCCAGTGAGTTTAAAAAAAAAAAAAAACCCAAAAACTATGATGGCTAGAACTATCATTCTAAAAGCAGAACTGCTTGCAATTTCAGAATTGCTGTTTGATTCAGCACATGCTCTTTAAACACAGATTCCATTGTAGGCTTTCTGTGAAGTTTGCTAGTAGAAACATTTCCTTTTCTGATGCTTGACTGATAGTTGGACTGCCTTTAGGAAGAGTGATTATAGGTAGCTATAGGGATTAATGTTCCTTTTGTTGCCTCTTAAAGGAACTTTGTAGAATGATGACAGCAGTAAAAATCTGAAGGCAAGTAGGTGTCAGAAATCAGTTGCCCCATCAGTAATGCTTCAGTGTTTTAACTTAGATACTTCCCAGCTTGCTGATGCTGAATGTTATAGCCATCTTTCCAAGATGCAATTTTCTTGTTTCAAAACATACAACTTTGTGTTAAGACCCAACTGTGAGAACAAATGAAAGAATCTGATCAAGAACATACTGAAAAATGCCATCAAGCTGGATTTCCAGCAGCGCTTTAAGGTGGCTGGAAGAATGAAATTGAGCAAAATGAGTCTCTTTTACATCGTGTAAAAGAATGAGGTCTTTCAAGTGTGTTTCGGCTGATTAAGGCTGTTTCTCAGTTGTGAATTAATGATCACTTAAAGTAAAAAATGTAGTTTGAGGCTCTTCCTTGGCCTGTTTCTTACAACAGTAATATCATCTAAAGGATATCAGAATGCTGAATTAAGAAATTCAAGTTGGTAAGAATTTTCAGGGTTTTTAACACTAACAATTCTAACAGTTGTTAACAGTTAATTTGAAGTACTTCTTAAGTAGCTTAATCATAACATCACACCCTTTCTGAGATTTCCAAGGTAACTTTTCAGCCATCTCTGGCTAGCTCATTTTCATACAGTATGTCAAACTGTGAGTAGCTGTGCTGGCACAATCAGTGTATCACTATTTCCAAACAGCATGATTAATAGAGTTACACACTGCACTATATTCCCAGTCTCCTTTCACAACTCTCTTCTCCATGTAATTCTTCCAGAATCCCTGTTCTTGAAAACATAGGTGTTTTAATTAATTGTTGAAGATACCTCTTTGAGTAGCACAAATGTGGAAGAAGCCTGTCTGCTTCTGAGGGATTTCTGATTAAGGACACCAAATATTAATGCAGAATGGCTTCAGATCTTTAGCACTAAAAGCATTTATTTTTAAACTGTAAATATGATGAGTAGAAAACGTATATTGCATCTTCTATTCTATAAATAGTTTAAGGATTGCTTACAACAGTAGATTACAGTGACTTTTTTCAGGTGCACGATGACAAGTTCAGGGAGATGAGGTACTTTCCAACCTGCATCTTGAAATCTGGCACAGGTGTTACAAAATTCTCTGCAGAAGTCTCTTCTAGGAGAAAATGTATCACCTGCACAGTGACTGACGCAGTTCTTCATACATTATTTGATCCTAAAAGTGCAAAGACGAGAAGAAAAGACTTTAGACAATGGGAAAAAACATATGCAGCACTTAAGAGCTTGTCTTCTGTCTTCTTTTTTAAAAAAAAACAAAACTTAACACCTATATGAGACACTAGCTCTACTTTTAAAATATTTACCAGAAAGAAAGCTAACTAAGGGCAAACAAGATCCTGCTGGCCTTGTGAATGAGGCTTTCAGCAGTGGTATGTAGTTAACAGAAGGCTTTGGCAGAGTTCATGTCATTCACGTTGCCATGCTAGGCTCAGAACATCACAAGAGCACTAGTGTTCTTTTTGCTAGGAGAGCTCCCAAATTGTCACTCTCTTGTCTACTTCTGCCAAAAATAAGCAGACAAGTATATCTTTTGCTGGTCTTGGTTAACAGTAACTGTTCCTTTACCTTTCCACCCATCACTCAAAATGATAGTTTTGAGGAAGGCGAATACTTTAAAAATGTTAACTTCTACTAAAATTAGCAGCATTCAGTAGATATCTGGCTCCAAAAATAACTTATGGTTAGCCTCAGGTCAATCAAATACACAGTAAGTCAACTGAGAGATGTATGTAGGAGGGAAAAGACTGAGAAATGAATCAGTCAGATTCAGCTGTTTCCCAGTATTGACAGGAGAGTATGTAGAGATTTGCTTGATTCAATTTATCTAGCAGGTAAGAAATAGCATATGGAAATGGGGGATCAGTATTCTGTACTTTAAAAGACAGTTCAAAATATTTATTTTGATGAACACTCTTGGCTGTACAGGGAGAGCTATTAACTAGCAATTTCTATATTCTCAATTATAGTAATTAAGATAACTGAGCAACTTTCATTTCAAAATAACTAGTCATAAGATAACCTTTAAAATGAACTTCCTTGACAAATGCAAATGATTTAAAAACAAAAATGATAGGACATAAAGAAAACTTTAAATGATGCATCTTCACCTTAACAGAGATGGCTGAGCACCTTTAAGTGCATATCCATTGGGGGGAAAATAGTGGTGGCAAAGTGCAATGCCTTGACTTTTGTGCCTGTGGAATATTCATTTAAGAGGTGAGGGTCAGGTGAATAACTAGTCTGGAAACATCAATTAAAAGTTCAAGGTACTACCCTAAATGCTAACCTTGGCACTGTGGTAATGCATTTACCACAAGCCATCATTTATCTGCAGATGAAGAGGGAGGTCTTTCCCAGAAGTTCAGAAACGAAAGTCTGGTTTGTTTAATGCAGAAACAGGTAGCGTCAGTAGTTAGTGAAATGCAAGCAAATAGTTTGCAGCTTTAAGTACTTCTACCAGTCTCTAGCAAATAAAAAGAACCCTTTTCAGAGGGGCGGTCAGCCTCACACACCTGAAGCTGTTCTTACCTTTTTTGATACTGAAGATTTCACTTTTCTAAAAGCTTCTTCAAAGTGTTTATGGGAAATCTTGATTCTTCCTTAAAAACAAAGTGAATACATTATACAGGGAGACTGCAGGTATGTGACATCAAGTGATTTTTTTTTTTTTTTTTTTTTTTTGCATGTATTGTAATGCAGCATTCATGAAACCTAATTCCATGTGCTAATCCTGCTGCTTTTATTTCTGGGCTTTACTATCTTAGATATGTTCAACATCAAGCTTCCCTACGGAATGCTATGTAATAAACACCTAGAAATTTATATAAATGTATAAATTAATATTTAATTATGTTTATTTGAATACCTAGATTGTTATCCAGATTCCACCACAAGATGCTCAATTCCTAAATAATTCACTTCGTATCATTTTGTTTGACCTCAACCAGAACTGAAAGCTGTCTTTACTTTTTCAGTTGCTGGTTTTTTTGTGTGTGTATACAAATCCCCTTTCTGACCCTAAAGCAGCTGCCTGGAGTAATTTTTTCCTAACCATATACTTGAGGAACAGGTTTGTGGTTTGGTTTTTCTGGTCTGCTACCAGGTAAGCATACCTCAAATAAATCATGGCTTCCTCTGTTCTCAGAAAGCAACCCTTCTGTAGTCTAGATGCCACTACCACGGATTCAGTACAGTGCTAGCATGCATAGTTATCAAAGGTAGAGGTAAACAAAAGTATGCTTACAGTTAATTTGGTGCATTTTTCATGCATTTCATTAAGAAACCTTTTGCTTCCAGGGATATGTACAGCCAGTGCCTTTGCAGACATGTTTGTCATGAGAATAGGATGTGCAGATGTTACAATACTTTAAACTTTTCAATATATTTGATGTCAGAATTCAGAAAAGTGTTCTGCTGCATAGCAGGTGGAGATGCCTAAATATGAGAACGTGTTCAAGCTGCAGATTAAGTTCAGCAAACTAAGCACACAACTTTGCCGCTTCTCATCTTGGTTCTCTGAATCTTTTATTCAAGATTCCCACTACAACATGATTTTATACTAGTAAAAAAATAAAAGGTGTAAGCTTAACATCTGAATGTCAGTATCCTATTTCACCAAGACAACACCTACAGTTAGTGAGGAAAAAGCTCAACTTCACAGAAGTCATGTGCCTTCAATAGCAAGTCATCAAAACTCCATTAAATATAAAAAGACAGCAATGAGAATTGTTTGCTTTCACTTTTTTTTTTAAAGTCTGTTTACTTGAATTATTAAACAAAATACAGTCTCAGCTAAAGGGAGAATAAAAAGAAAACAGCATTAGTGATGTCCTTAGTGTCTTCCTCACTGACTATCAGAAAAAGTTCTAGTGAAATAGTTTGTGATACAAATCTAAATGTATTTGCTGTGACAAGCATTCACTCATCTACTGCTATGTAAAAGTTTACCTCTCAGCAAGAGTGCGTTGGGGGCTTTGCATTTCCTGTGTGGTAAGAGCAGGCACAGTGCTTGTTAGTGTCAGTAATCTGTACCTTTGCTACTTGCATTCATATAGCTTGCCTTGCTTTTTTTGCCTGCAAAACTATTTAGTGTGGGGAAATTAAGTATGTGTGGTTACTTTTAGCAATTTTCTTAGAAAAACTCCACATACGCTTTGCTTAACAAGATCAGCTTTATAGATGATTTCAAGCCTTGCGTGTGTCCTGTAGTAAGACTGAAGAAAGAAACTCCCAGACTGTGCATGGGCACTGCCCTTCTGAAGGTGTAAATGAACAAGGCTTCAAATCAAATTGTACCTTTCACCTTTCATCCTGGCTAAGGGTGACACCCTGGAACTCCACATCTCACACAAACAGCTGCTATGCATGTGGATCAATCTGTGCCCATTTGATGGACTTCCTGGCTGCCACTGATCAATACAATCAGTGGTCAGGCTGGGACCTTGGGCTTAAAGACCAGACTGAAGTGAATAACATTTTTGAATCAAATGTGCTCCATCTGGAATAGTCATAAAACCAAACGAGATAAGTTCAAAGATTTCCATCTAAGAATCAAGAGCAAGCAAATGAGTAATCCCTTCACACAACAATGTGACTTTTTGTAGACTTTTCTTTTTCTCCCTCTAAATTGCTCCCTTGCAGCAAGGGGCTGGGATCAAAAAGAATGATTCAGAACCATAAAATGCCAGTGTGACTCTCACAAAGCAGAAGCAGAATGAAAGCTGAA